CCAAACCCACGCACACACACATAGTAGCATAGAACCTACTTTGTGTAAGAACCAACACTGGAAACGAACATGAACATGTCTACTTAGAGCTAGTTAAATGGTACTGAACGAACGTTCGAAAAGGGAAACTCAGACTTATATCTGCGTTGTCTTTGAAAAAATCGTCAAAAACAGGATTTTTGGGGTCAAATTCAAAGACAAATAGTAGAATATTTCTGAAGTTGAAAGAATATACGACATGTTATCGAATCGAAAGGGGAAAGTAAGGATGAAAGTTATAAACTGTTCTACGTTCCATACCTAGGGACTGAATTATATTGAAGACATACCTATATTATTTCTAGTAATGAGAATTTGTTTGGTCCAAGACAAAGAAAGCTTTACTATAAAAGACGAGTCCCGTGTCTTTCTTTATAAGTAAACAGCCAGAAATAAATAATAATAATTCTACCCAGATTTAGAGTTTGAAAGAAGAGAAGTTTAGGGGCATGGCAACGTTAAACATGTTAAGGTCACGAGGGACAATGTGGCTGTTGTTGTTGTTTGTTGTTTTGTTGTTGTTGGGTTGGGGTTTTGTTTTTTGTTTCTTTTTTTTTTGTTGTCTTTTTAAAAACCTTAATGTAGGTGTTTTTGCAAACAGTTTAGAGGTCAATCCGGACTGAGAGGGATACATCGTACCAGCAAAAAGACAGCGATACACGGCGATACGCAGTTTTCGTCACGTCTAAATTTTTATGATGGACTGAATTAAAAACAACAGCACACCACCTGCTGAGTAAAGGGCCCGCGTCAAAATGTCTTTGGAATAGATTTTTTTAAATCTTTTTTTTTTTCAGAGCATCAAGTATTATACGAGTGACCAAAAATGTATAAAGTTGAATATCGACTTTTTGACCTTTTCATTTTCATTGTGTTTTGAAGCACCTTGCAACATACGTTTACACTTGTACTGCTATACATAATAGCATAGTTTATATTTCTCCTAGTTCGATTCCCCACTAGAGCGTTCTGACATTGGATTGTTTGGGGGAGTTCTAAGGCTCTCTATCGTTCTAACTCGATCGCATCGGAAATAAACGTTTCAATTCTGAGGTCCTGCTTAATAACCTTTCATAGTTGAAGAGGGCGTTAAAGACAAAGGAATAATCTCTCTCTCCCTCTCTCTCTCTCTCTCTCTCTCTCTCTCTCTCTCTCTCTCTCTCTCTCTCTCTCTCTCATTCTCTTTATCCCCCATTCTCTCTCTCCCTCTCTCTTTCTCTCTCTCTCTTCCTCCCTCTCCCTCTCTCTTTCTCTCTTTCTCTCTCCCTCTTTCTCTCTCTCATCGTTCTCTCTCCCTCTCTTTTTTCTCTATCTCTTTTGTAATCTGTCTCCCCCCGACCCACCTCTCTCTCGCTCTCTCCTTCTCTCCTTCCACCCGCAAATTGCGACTCTAAGCCTTTTTCCCCCTTGCCCTGCGGGAACTGTTTCTTTGGGTTTTTTTTTTTTTTTTA